ACTGCAGTGACTCTGGCAGAGCAAATTCACTTGTTTCAATGTTGTGTCCAGAGCCCCAGTGGGAGGGAGGAAGGCAACCCTGTTCCTCACTCTGGCACCATCCCACTCTGCCCTCAGTGCGTACCCCACCACAGCAGCATCTGCAGCCTCAGATAAGCCCAGGGGTCCCCCAGGATGGTGACACCAAACTCGCGTCCCTGCGCAGGCCCCGGATTAGTTGGTTTAGACAGAAGACTTCGTCACTGTGTGCCCAGGGACAAGCACCTCCAGTTCTCTGTGCCTTTGTGACCTCCCTGTAAGGTGGGGAAGTCACAGAGCCACCTCCCCAGCTCACACGGAGGCTCATGGGTGACTGTGCAGGTGAAACCCTTGGCCCAGTGCCTGGCTCGGAGTAAGCACTCAATAAATGTGGGGTTATATCCTGCCCCGCCTGACTTCCCCTTTGGGCCTCCCCACCCCCCACTGTCCCAGGACTGCCCGGAGAGCCTGTGTGGCACATCTGTGTAGGCTGACTCCACCCCTCCTCCTTCCCTGGAGCCCCTCCCTAGCAAACACAGTAGCCCTGTCCTAGTCTAGACTGCCTGGCCGTATCTGTGTGGTGTGTGAACACTGTGCTTCACCCAACCCTCAAAGCCCTCATCGTGAAGCGCTTGGATTGGGAAAGAGAAAAGTGAGTCTGTGGCTCCACTTCTCACTCACTGTGACGGGTTGGTCTAGAGAATCTCCCAAGGGAACCTAGTGCTCAAAAGAGAAGAGTGTCATAGTCCCCAGCCAGCTCTGTGACCAAAATAGTGACAATTTGTCCTGCTTCTCGCTGTATTTGTCTGTGTGTGTGTGTGTGGGGGGGTACATATGTCTGTCCCAGATGGCAGAGGGAGACGCCTATGTCCGATGTAGCACCTTCTGCCTTCTCCCCTTGAGGCAGGGTCTCTCACTGGCCCTGGAGCTAGCCTGGCAGCTGGTAAGAGCCAGTGTTCCTCCATATGAGGCAGGTGTGTGTGTGTGTATGTGTGTGTGTGTGTGTGTGTGTGTGTGTGTGTGTGTGTGTGTGTGTTATATGGATATGGGTGCTGGGGATTTGAACTCAGATCATCATGTGCTGTAAGTGTTCTTACCCACTGAGCCATCTCCCCAGCCCAGGTTTTTTTTTTCCTTCTATATTTTCCAAGTCTTTTTCTCAAGCAACCTGCTAGGAGTGACTTGGGTTCAAATCCAGGTCTCATTTGATTTGTCTGTTTTGTGTTTGGCGGAGGGGCACACGTGTGAAGCTCTGAGGACAACTTTTAGGACTTGGTTCTTTCCTTCCACCTGGTCCTGGGACTGAACTCAGGTTCTCAGGCTTGGCTTGGGCACCTTTATTCACTGCGTCATCTCCCTGGTATGGTTAGACACGTGATCCAACGAGGTAGCACAGACTGGCCTGAAACCCACAGTGATCCTCCTGCCAGGTGCCCACCACTGTACCTGGCTGCAGGCCACTGTCTCTGAGCCCTTAGTGAAATCTTGGGATGCTGGGTCAGAAGGTTGAGTCCTGCCTGATGATAGAGGCTGCGGGGTGGGTATGGATACCACCATGGACTCCCCTTCCCAAGAAGGCCTAACACTGTGGGAGGACAGAGGGAGCCAGTCAGAACCCATCTGAACCAACTCCTGCCCCTGTGCCCCCAGGGACCTCCAGCCAGATCCGGTTCCTGGCTGTGCCTGCCCAGTGTGGATGTAGGATGGAAAACTGGCCTGGCTGTTTCCTGCCCACTCCCAGCTCAGGGCAGCAACATCCGTTACCGCTGCCCTTTGACCCCACATCCTGCCTCCACCTCACTAAACTGTGTATCCTATGACCACTTTACTGGAAGGGAAACTGAGGCCCAAAGCACAGTGGCTGGCCAGGAAAGGCTGCACACCCACACACTTTGTGCATGAAGTTTGGACAAAAGGAAAACGACCCAGTTCCTGTGGGATCTGTTTACTTTTCATACCCACCTCCTGCCGCTGGAGGCTTTGGAGTATGTCACCGATCCAGCCAACGAACCCCTGGGGGCTGGGGAGATGCCAGAGTGGGTAGTGCTGGCCACACAGCATGAGGACCTGAGTTTGGATCCCAGATCCCATGTAAAAGTCCAGCACAGCAGGGCACACCTGTAACCCCAGCACTGGGGATCGGGGCTCCCTGCCCTGTGAGGCTAACCGAACTAGTGGACTCCAGTTCCATTGAGAGACCCCCACCTCAAAAAACATAGAGTGGAGAGTGACAGAAGCAGATGCATGATGTTAACCTGTCTTCCACATAGGCAAGCACACAAGCACACACATCCACACACATCCGTACGCACATATATACCATACACATACCAAAGATCACTTCCTGCTGTGTTCTGCTGCTGGGGCCCCATGGTGACTTCAGCTGCAAACCTGGCCCTCAGTGACATCCCCAGCCTCAGGATGCCAGAGGGAGGAGGCTGAGGACATTGGGGATAGGTGGGCTGACAGCGGAAGGTGTCCACAGCAGAGCCTTGAAGTCAAACCAGCACTGACGTCCAAGTTCTACTTGTGTGAGCCTGGAGTCCCTTCCCCTTTCGGGGACTCAGTTTGCTGTAACATGAGGCTTCAGGGAGCCTGTAAATCTGTCTACGTTTCCAACAGTCTACTGTCTCCCAAAACATCAGGAACTCAGTCGGGCACCCAGTCAGGTGAGGGGATGCATGCCTGTCACCCCAGCATCCTGGAGGTGAAGGCGGAAGGGTCAGGAATTCAAGCTCATCCCTGGCTGCTGGAGGATACCCTGGGCTACACGAGACCCTCCTTCAAAACACAAACGGGCTGGAGCGGCTGGTATGTGGTTAACAGCACTGGCCGCTCTTACAGAGGACCTGAATTCAGAAGCCAGCACCTGGGTCAGACAACTTACAACTGCAGGCACCTGCCCTCATGTGAACACACACACACACACACACACACACACACACACACACACACACACACACCTCTTTTTAAAGCATACAAAAACCCCTAAAACTCTCTCTTTAGCCTCTGAGTCCAGTGGGGTCAAATCTGTTTCACACTGAGAGTACCCATGCTTGGCATACAGTAGGTGCTCAATAAATCCTCCACTCCACAGGTCCAGAAGGAAGACAGGCGGGTGAGGGCCAGCCCTGCTCTGGGAGGTGTCTTTAAGGAAAATGACTCACTCTCTTAGTCAAAGACAGCTTCCTGCCCTAGAGTGTTCAGAGTCCACCAGACAAAGGTTTCCATTCTGCAGATGGGGAAACTAAGGTCAGAAAAGCCTGGGGCTGGGAGCCAGACTTCAGGCTTTCTGCGCAGAGGTCAAGTGCTAGGGACGATGGGATGGCCCAGTCAAATCCATCATAGTGGCAGACTGGGACTGTGTCAGGGTGGCCTTGGGATGTCACACAAGCCAGCTGGGCCTGCATTCTGCTGTGCCTCGTCTGGGACTCGTGGGTGACTTCAGCTGAGCCCCTGTGTCAGGCCTGCCTCCTGCCCCCCAGGGTGGGCTTTATTCCTACCCACCGAGGAGTGCCTCAGGACCTCCCAGGTGGCCCCTCTTCCAACTCACTGCCTCTGGGAGAGAAGAGAACAGAGCATGAACCCCAGTGTCAGGACACAGAGGCAGCAGATCTCTGAGAGCTCGGGGCCAGCCTGACCCACACAGTGAGACCCTGTCTCCAAAAATAAAAATTAAAGAGAGTGGACGGCAGCCAGGCACGGTGGTGCAGGCCTTTAGTCCCAGCACTCAGGAGGCAGCATCTTTGTGAATTCAAGGCCAGCCTGGTCTACGAAGTGAGTCCCAGTACAGACAGGGCTACAGAGTAAAATCCTGTCTTGAAAAACCAAAAAAAAAAAGAAAAAAAGGTAGACAGCATTTAATATTCTCTTGGCTGCTTGGCGGGCTCTCTCTCTGTCTCTGTCTCTCTCTCTGTCTCTGTCACACACACACACACACACACACACACACACACACACACACACACACACACGCTCTCATGTTCAGCTAGTTATCATCGTAGTTAACATTTACTGTCCACAGTGATCAGCCTTGGTGTGAGCATTCTGTCCCCAACAAGTTTACCTTGAGAACTGGGTTCCAGTCCTGCGCTGGGCAACCAAGGGAAAGGCACCACCCTCTGTGATTCCTGCTGAGGGAGTCAGGACAGTGAGTGCTGCCTGCTTGGGGCCACAGACAGCATTTGGGGTGACGCAGTAGGCTGCACCAGTCGATCCACTGGAGCAGACACAGGAGTGGCCCTGGCAGCTAGGAGGTGTCAAGGAGGCTGGGTGGGTGGCTTCCTGAGCCGACTCTGAAGAGCTGGGTGACTGTGAGAGAGAACGGGAAGTCGGAGACAGACCCTCAGGACTAACAGGAGTAGGATCTGGAGAAGGTTAAGGGACGTGTTAATTAAGACAGAGTGAGAGCAAATGTGCAAAAATTGGAGGAGAGAGAACTTGAGTTTTGATGGGAATCAGTCTCTGCGGGGTGAGTCTCTTCCAGCAGAGCCCTCAAAGCCAGGCACCGAAACAGGTTCAGGGTTCTCCCGAGCAATGGGGAGCCACAGAAGGTTCTCGGCCCGCCGGGAGACGGGCCTGCACATGACCAGAAACTTCGTCTCTCTGACTGTAAAATTCGGTGAGCGACCCAGAGGCTCCACTTTGTTTAAACGATCCCCTGAAAGCCGAATTCCGAAAATGGGAATGCAAAATCGAATTTGTAGTGAGGCTCTGACTTCCTCAAGAGAGTGGGGACGCTGGTGAGTCTAACTAAGAATTCAGTAGTGCACACTCTGCAATGTGTGTATGATTTATTTTTATTTTATGTGTATGGACGTTTTGCCTGCATGCAACGGTGTCATGGAGGCCAGAGGAGGGTGTTGGATCCCCTGGAACAGGAGCTGGGAATCAAACCTGTGCCCTCTGTAAGAGACCTATCTCTATATACCTTTTACTTTCTACATTAATGTGGGGGGCGCGTGTGTGAGGTCGGCTTGTGGCAGTGGGTTCTGTGGATGGACTCCTGGTGGTGTCAGGCTTGGCCGCCAGCTCCTTTCCCCGCTGAGCCACTTCACCAGCTCATAAAGGCTTTATGTTTCTTGGCAGGGCCTCAAACTCCGGATCCCCCTGCCTCAGCCTCCCAAACGCTGGGCGACAGGCGTGCACCACCACGTCCATACTTTACAGATAAGGAAACTGAGGCCCAGAGAGCTGGGACCCACACCCTTAGGCTGACTCGTTCTCCTCTGTGTCCCCAGGTAGAAGAGGAGCTGACGCACCTCCAGAAGAAACTGAAGGGCACCGAGGACGAGCTGGACAGGCACTCGGAGGACCTGAAGGACGCGCAGGAGAAGCTAGAGCTGGCGGAGAAGAAAGCCTCCGATGTAAGCGCGGCTGCGGGCGCCGGCTCGGGCAAGGCGGGGCGGGCCGCGCGGGAGGACGAGGAGCCCTCAGGGCAGCGGCGGCCAGCGGTGCCGACGTCAGCCCGGCCCCCCCCCCCCCGCCCGGTGCTGACGTCGCGGGCCGGCCGGGGTGACCTCATCGGCCCGAAGGCAGCGGCCGGGGGGCGGGGAGAGGCGGGGGCGGCCCCGGCGTGGCCAAGGCTCGCGGGCCCGGGCGCGGCCGCCCAGCTGTCGCCGGAGCCCAGCGGAGCGAGCGCGCCATGGCCGGCCTCAACTCGCTGGAGGCGGTGAAGCGCAAGATCCAGGCCCTGCAGCAGCAGGCGGACGACGCGGAGGACCGCGCGCAGGGCCTGCAGCGCGAGCTGGACGGCGAGCGCGAGCGGCGCGAGAAAGTGAGCGACCCGGGCCTCCGCCGTCCCGAGCCCCCCGCGACCCCCGCTTTCGTCCGGCGCTGCAGCCCCGCGCGCTCCCGGGCCCGCGCGCCCTCCTTTCTTCCCGGCTCCGTGCGCTTCCAGCTCTCTCTCCCTCCCTCCCTCCCTCCCTCCCTCTCTCCCTCTCTCTCTCCCTCTCTCTCCCTTTCCCTCTTTCAGTCCTCCGCCTGGGTCATCCGCACCCCCGGACCCCAGAGCGGGCGCCGTACGCCGACCGGGCGGGAAATGGGGGGGAGGGGGCGCGGAGCAGTCCCGCGTGGGGCTCTCCGGGGCGGCCGGGCGAACCCCGCGCTCCCATTGTCTGCGGCCGGACCGCGGTGGGGGCGGGGGCGGCGCGCGCTCTCGCTCCTTCGCGCCCGAACTTTCCCGGCGCGTCCCTGGGGTGCGGCCGCGACGTGTCGGCTGAGGGCGGGGTGGGAGGCAGGAGTATCAGGGCGCAGGCCTGCCGCACCCCCCCCCCCCCCCACACACACACACCTTGTCGCCCCGAGCCCTTGGGAATACCCGCTAGGGGCCTCTCCACCCGCCAAGGTCGGAGCGCCCACTCTATGCGCCTTCGCGGGGAGTCCGGGGACCCGGGTGCATGAATAGCTCCGAAAGAGGAAGCGGCCTCCGCACCTCCTCCTCTTCATCCCTGGGTCAAGCCCGGGGCCGGAGGCGGATCTGGGTTCTAACCCAGCTCTGACACCCACAAACTACTCGATTCGCGTTTCTCTCCCCAAAAGTCTTCTTAAAAGAGGAGGCCAGACCAGACTAGAGAGAGGCATTCCAGACGCTTCCGCGGCTCTGAGAGACCCCAGCCTGGGTACTAGAGCCGCGTTTGCTGGCTCAAGAGCCTCTCAGACAAGGGAGGGGTGTTGGGGGGACGTCCAGGGCCCCTGGAAGCCAGAGTGTAGGGACTCAGGGCGGGGACCCCAGAAACTGCCCGGCCAGGTGGAGTTGGCTGCGCAGGCACCGCCTGGACTCCTCCCAAGGCGGTCTGGGCGACAGCCTGGCCTGAGTGGAAACCTTGAATCCCTCCAGGGCCTCTTTGGCTGGAGGAAGCCTCAGAACCGGGTGGAAGCTCCACACAGTAGCTGTTCTGGCCTTTCACACTCCAGTCCCACCCTAGACAGCTCCAAAATGGCCCCGAGTCTCCAGCCAAGCCAGGAATTTGGCGGCCTGGGGGTGGGGTGCGGGGGATGCTTTTTTGCAAAACTTGGGGCTTCTTTAAAACTTCGTGTGACAAAGTGTGCTTCTCTTCCCTGTGGAAAGACGTCTCAAGTTGATTCCAGGCCAGAAGCACCCAGACCAGAAATGGGGGGCGGGGGCTGTGGCAGACTTCTGGGCCTGTGTCCCAACAGCTGGTTTCATTTAGATTTTTGTGTGATTAACCGACGTCTTCCTGTTCCTTGGCCACAAGTATCTAGAGAGCCTCTTTTACCTTATAAGGGAAACCCTTTGTAGCCCGTGGAAGGCTTTGATTGCAGGAAGAGGCGGAACTCAGGATGACTAGCCTGGGGGGCGGGGAGAGGGAGAGAAAGAGTGTGAGTGTGTGTGTGTGGCACGCGCGTGCCCGCATGCACTGCCGTTAATGCACGCTTATGAACGAAAGCTCTTTCGATTTTAAGCAGTTGAAAATGTGCCAAGATTCAGAATGTGCTTCATCAATCTAATTTCTTTTTCTTTTCTTTGAGACAACTGAATCAAGAAACTCAGTGTGACTGTGAAAGTTGATTACTCCCTGGGTGTGGCCTTGGAGTGTGGCCTTGCACCTCTGTAGCCTCCAGCTGCTCTAGAGGCTGAGGCCGTCCCTGAGTGGTGCAGAGCTTGCTTGGCCTGCACAAAGCCCAGGTCCATCTCCAGGACTGGGTGAACTGGATGAGACAGTCTCAGCACTTGAGAGGTTGAGGCAGGGAAATCAGAAGTTCAAGGCCACCCTATGTAGTTAAGGCCAGCCTGGACTACATGAGACCATGGCTGAAAAAACTATTGACTGCAGATGGGTCCAAGGTTCTTTTTGGAAAATGACAAAAGTTAACAAATTAGATAGTAGTCCTAGTTGCATACTTTTGCTAAATATACTAGAAACTGAACTGGGCGGGAACCAACCCTGCCCTAGCTGTTGGAATGCGAGAGGTATTGAGGTTCAAGACTTAAAAGGAGGCACCCGTGGGCACCGAGATGGTTCCTCTGGGTAAAGGTTCTTGCCACCAAGGCTGATGACCTGAGTTCAATCCCCAGGACCCACATAGTGGGAGGAGAAACCTGAGACACACAGGCACACGTTGATGTTGGGAGATGGGGGGTCACAGGTCACAAACTTTTTTTTGTCTGTGTGTTGACAGGCAGCCTGGCCTTGCTCTGTTACTTTCCCTGCTCTGGAAGCTGGGGCCGGGAGGACCCAGACTCTCCCTGATTTTTATAACTGCCCCCTTGTAGTAGTTATCCCTGAAAGGAAGCTGATAGCCTGACTTCCTGTGTCTCCTTCAGCTGAATCCCATGCACCCACGCATGCATTTTTAAAATGTGTGTGATGGAATTTAAGCTCAGGTCTTTATGCTGTGCAACGATAACTGTTACCTACTGCGCCAGCTCCCTCCCCAGCTCCCCGGCTCCTCCTCCTTCTGGTATTTTGGCAGAGGAACTTGCTGTATAGTAATCAGCTAGCCTGAAATGATTTATCCTGCAGCTTCATTCGCTTGGAGCTGGGATCTCAGGCATGTGTCCATGCCCTGCTAATTGAATCTTAAGTGACCAACTTTCTGTGCTCCTTCTTGAGGGTGGCCATCTCTAGGTGACTGGCCTGGCCTCCAAGCTTCTGAGGGACAGAGTGAGAAGGGACTTACCAGCCCCAAGTCACTGAACAAAACCAGTGCACTGATGGACTTTGTGTGAAGCCAGGGCCAGGAAGATGGCTCAGTTGTTAAAGGTGCTTGCCAACAGCTATACTACCTTGAGTTTGAATCCCAGGACATGGTGGAGTGGAAGAACCAACTCCCGAAAGTTGTCCTCTGACAGCCACACAGGTCCCCTCTTACACACACACACACACACACACTCCGAATGAGTGTAATTCAGAAAAATAATGACAAAGCGTAGCAGTAAGCGCTCCCACCCTGCCCCACAGTCTTTCCCCGTGTTTGGGGTGAGCCATGCCACAGCCTTTGGTCATAACCCTTAGTCCTGTGAAGTTCAGTCTGAGAGATCCAGGTACAGAGAGTGACACAAGCTGCCACTTGACCCCAGAGCTCCTGCTCTTCTGCATGCTGTGTGTGAAAGGGCCCCTGGAAAGCCTGCTAACGGTGCTGGAGTGCAGCTCCAGGGCAGTGTGCTTGTGAATGTGTGTGCACAAGGCCCCAGGTCCCTCTCCAACTACGACAAGAGCAACCACAAACAGCAAAAACACCAGAAAGCTAATAGCACTACTCAGAGAGTTGGGCATGTAGCACCAGGCCTAACTTTTCTTTCTTCCTTTTTTTGGAGACAGGGTCTCATTGTGTATCTCTGGCTGGTCTGGAACTCACAGAGATCTGCCTGCCTCTGCCTTCCAAGGGAGCCGCCCCGGCTTGTTTTTTGTTTTTTGTTTTTCCTGTTGCACTTAGATTCTTGTTCAGCACGTGATAGTTATGCAGGTGGGGTCTCTCCTCTGCTGACTTGGTTGGCCATCAGTCACAGAGTGAATTCTTCAAAGTTTTCAGGAGACTGAAATGTTACGTTCTCCAGAGAGGCTGGGTGCTGTGACTTGCCAATAGTGTCAGCACCTGGGAGACTGAAGCAGGAGGATTCTCTGAGTTGGAGACCAGCCTGGTCAATTCTCGAGGCCTTGTCTCACAGATCAATAATTTTTAAAAATCAAATTTAAAGTCAGATGAGAGTGAATTCTGTTGAGCCTGGGCCCCTGGGTGGGCTGTGGCAGGGCATCCGGGTCACTGAGGCAGGGTGGTGGGGGCTGCTGCTCGCCAGCATGCCACTTCTCATGGCTGCGCCTCTGACTTCCCAGGCTGAAGGAGATGTGGCTGCTCTCAACCGCCGCATCCAGCTGGTGGAGGAAGAGCTGGACCGCGCTCAGGAGCGACTGGCCACAGCCCTGCAGAGGCTGGAGGAGGCAGAGAAGGCGGCAGATGAGAGCGAGAGGTAGGATGCTCCGACCTGGGGAGACGGGATGGAGCCAGGTGTGCTGGCGCACCCCTGTGGGCCCAACACTGAGGAGGATCGGGAGTCCCAGGCCAGCCTGGGCTCCAGGAGGCCCTTCCTGACTTTTAAAAAGGTGTGTATGAGGGCTGATGACTCAGTATATAAGTGCTTAAATCCTCAACACCCATGTGAAAAGCCTGTTGTGTTTACACAGGAGGACACTGGTGCCCGTTGGCTGCCAGCCTACCTCCAGGTTCAGTGAGAGACCCTGTCTCAAGGGAAAAAGACAGAGTGATAAACAGGACACCTGACATCCACCTCTGGCCTCCATATTACACATAAATTTTGGATTTGAAATGGTGCTGGTGACCTCAGAGCTGAAGGGAAAGCCAGTGGGGTTTTACAGATGTGTGACAGCCCTGTAAACACCACACTGTGTGGTGATTTGGGGGGTTTATTTTGTTGGGATTTTTTTTTTTTTTTTTTTTTTTTTTTGGTTTTTCGAGACAGGGTTTCTCTGTGTAGCTTTGCGCCTTTCCTGGAACTCACTTGGTAGACCAGGCTGGCCTCGAACTCACAGAGATCCTCCTGGCTCTGCCTCCCGAGTGCTGGGATTAAAGGCGTACGCCACCACCGCCCGGCTTGTTGTTGTTGTTTTTAATTCCCTTTTCTGTTGTATTTTGTTTGAGGCAGGGTCTACCCATGTAGCTCAGGCTGGCCTCAACTCCTGGCAACCTTCCTGCCTCATCTACCTGAATGCTGGGGTGACAGACGGTCCCCCATGTGCCCAGCTTGGGTGTTGGTTGTTGTTTTGTTTTGATGATGGCTTAGGAGAACACATTCCAGCAGGCGGAGAAAAGCAGAAATGAGCAGGTGTGGGGCTGGGGCGTCAGTGTGCTGCTGCTTTCCGGGGAAGCCAGGGTGCCTTTGGTCCCCGTTCTAGAGAAAACAGTTTCTAGATGATGTGGAGAAAAGAGGAAGTAAAGGTGGATGGGCAGCGTAGCAGTGCACACTTTCATCCCAGGATCGGGGGTGCAGATCTCTGCCATATGCCTGAATGGCGGTTCCCATTGCTGTGACAAGCTTTAGGCTTCCGGATGACACAGCTGTATTTTGGGGACAGTGCATAACCAGCCATCACTGTGTGCACAGCTGATTGTGCTGCTCTGGTAGTGTCTGTGCCAAAAGGCTTCCACAGGGAGCTCTGTCCCACCATCCTCTGGAGTGAGTGACTGATGTATCTCAGCTTGGAGGTCAGACTGCATGGTTACAGGAGCCATGGACAGGGTGGCCTGCCCAGCACTGAAGGCTCCTCCCAAAGACCTGAGTGCAGATTGTGCTGCTGTGAACATGAAGCAGACACTAGACACCAGCTAGGATCTGGGGTGCTGCTCAGTGGTGAGCGCCTGCCTAACCTTGTGAGAGGCCCGGGCTCTATACTCCGCGCTAGTCCACTTGGGCTGTCGAGGTGGTCTAGTGGATAGAGGCACTTGCTGCCAAGTCTCATGACCTAAATTCACTCCTGGGTCTCACATGGTGGAAAGAGAGAACCAACCTCCCGCAAGTTGTCCAATGCACAGATGCACACCCTGAACACACACAGTGCTCATATTGGGCAGCTCACAACTGCCTATAACATGAACTCCAGGGAACATAGTACCTCTGATTTCTGTGTACGCGTACCTGCACACACACACACACACACACACACACACACACACACACACACACACACAGTTAAAAATAAAATGAATATTAAAAACCAAAAACAACACCAGTGAGATGGCTCAGTGGGTAAAAGCACTTGCTGCCAAGTGTGACAGCCTGAGCTCAGTTGGTGCCCGGGACCCACACTGGAAGGAGAACCAACCCCTGCAGGTGTTTTACAACTTTCACACTTGCTGGGGCGCATGCGCTCACACACAAATAAATGTAGAATTATAATAATAAATAAATCAGGTGTTTTGTCATACGCCACAGTTTTAATAATGTGTGTATGTGTGTCTGAAACAGGGTCCTGACTGTCCGGGGACTTCCTGTGTAGACCAGGCTGGTCTAGAACTCCACAGAGATCCACATTCCTCTGCCTCCCCAGTGCCGGAATCAAAAAGGGTGCCCGGTGCCCCACCACACCCAGCCCCCCCCCCCCCCATTGATTGTATTTCATTTGTGTGTGCCACAGCACGTATGTGGAGGTCAGAACATCTCGTAGGAGTGGGTGCTCCCCTTCGTCAGACTGGTGGTGACAAGCGCTGTTCCCACTGCGCTATCTCCACCTTGTTTTTTGAGACAGGGTCTCAGTGGACAGGAGCCCCAGGAATGCTGTCCCCACCTCCCCAGCAGAGGTTTTTATGTGGTGCTGGGGAGCAGGAGCAGGTCTCAGGCTTGTGGGACAGCATTTGACCCACAGCCATCGCGGATCCCCATGACCGCCTCTGTTCCACGCAGCTCGGCGAGAGCCAGCTCTGCTGAGGCAGCTGAGTTGTTCTGGCTGCCCTCGGACATCATTCTTTCTGACCTGGGTGTCCTTTATCTGAAATGCTTGGGACAGAAAGTACTTAGGAGTTTGGTTGTTTCTAGATTTGGGGATTTTTGCATGTGCGTAATGAGATATCTTAAAGGTGGGATCCAAGTCCAAACAGGAAGTCCATATGCATTCTCTATCCCTTCTACCCAGGGACAGGGGGTCATTTCCGGCGTATCTAGTGTGCCCTCCTTTTAATGGTGGCCTGTTGCATAAGGAATCTCCCGTTTGTGCTGTGGCTGTGCACAAAGGTTGCGGGTGGGCCTTAGTGGTAGGACTCATGCTTAGCATTCACACTGCACTGAGTTCTAGCCCCTGCATGTCCAAAAAAAAAAAAAAAGTTTATCTTGAAAGCCAGGTATGGTGGAGCACACCTTTGAAAACTAGTTTATTTTGAGCAGTTTGGCTGCCCGGGTTGTGCCTTCCTTCCCTGTGGTCTTTGCACAGCAGCTTCTTCGTTTTATTTCCATTCAGCCCTGGTTTTGGAAGCTTCCAGTAATTCCCTTTCCCCCAGCATAAACATCGCGCCCATCCTGGGCATGGACTTGTTCTTTCACTCCTGTGACTCCGGGGGGTGTTTGGTTTTGGCTGGTTAGTTGATTGGTTTGGAGGTTGTTTCTTTGTTTCTCTTTTTATAATTTTAACACAAAGTCTCCCTGTATAGCTCTGACTGGCCTGGAACTCAGAGATCCCCTTGCTTCCGCCTCTTGAGAGCTGGGACTAAAGGCATGCACCACCACACACAGTAAAACTCTGGCTTCATTGTTTGCCTTTTTTTTTTTTTAACTTTTGTTTTATTGAAACAAGATCCTGCTGTAGAGCCAGGCTTGCCTGCAACTCAAAGGCCTGTCTCAGTCTCCCAAGTGCTGAGATGACAGACACAGGCCACTCACCTGCCAGGCTCCTCCAGTTCTCGTCTTACGCTTAGCTAAGCCTCATGTAGATAAGGGCTCTAGAAAGCCTTCTGTGGCTCTCCCCTCGGTTCCCACTACACCTGCTCCTCCACATTCCCGCAGGTGTGGCTGCACACTCCATACTGACTGCTGATGCTCAGGCCTGTCTCATGGAGAGGAAACAAACATGGGTGCACCCTGAGGAGTGGGCCCAGTTCTGCTGCCTAGCAGCTCCATAACCTCGAGCCTTTCTCTGCCTCAGTTTCTTTTGTCTATGAAGTGGGGAGAGTAGACCCCCTCCCTGGTGTGATTTTGAAAGCTAGAGGTCCACCAGACATGGTGGTGATGCATGTCTGTCATTACAGTGCTCCCAAAGGCTGAGGCGGGTGTAGCCTGGGCTAGGTAGCAAAACCCTGTCTTCTAAGACCTGATGAAAGGGGTGTTGGGAGGTAGGATTGGAGCTCAGTTGATAAGAATTCTTACCTGGCATCCACAAAGCTGGGCTCAGTCCTCAACACCACATAAGCCAAGTGTGGTGATGCAAGCCCGTCACCTCAACACCAAGGAGGTCGAGGCAGGGGGATCAGGAATTCAAAGCTGTCCTTCACTGCACAGTGAGTTTGAGGTCAGCGTGGGGTATATGAGACCCTGTCCCAAAAAAGTAAAAGTGAGTCTGGGGAGATTGTCCGTGGTTGAGGGCTTGCTGCACAAGCCTGAGAACCTGACTTAGTGTACCCACCCCCACATAAAAGCTGATATGGGTGTGTGTGTCTAATCCCGGCACTGGAGAGGCAAGGACGGAAGGCCTTTGGCCATGGCCTGGGGTTCCATGGCAGCCAGTCTGTAGAGAGCAGCAAGCTCCAGGTTCAGTGAGAGACCTGTCTCAAAAAGATACCACAGGCTGGAGAGCTGGCTCTGCAGTTAAGAGCACCTGCTGCTCTTGCAGCGGACCTGGCTTCAGTGCCCAGCGCCAGAGGGCTTCTCGGTGAAATGAATATGGAAGTTGACAGCAGGTCTTCGTCCTTGCCTGGGTCCCGGGTGGAGGCATTTGAGGACCTGGCTCTCACACCCCGCCCCGTTTGCAGAGGCATGAAGGTGATAGAGAACCGAGCCATGAAAGACGAGGAGAAGATGGAGATCCAGGAGATGCAGCTCAAAGAGGCCAAGCACATCGCCGAGGAGGCCGACCGCAAGTACGAGGAGGTGAGTGGGGCCGGCGGGATGGCCGCAGGAAGTGGGAGGAAATGGTACTGCCGATAGGAGCGCAGGGGAAGCCCACACTCAGGACGATTGCCTCTGCGGGAACATCTGTGTTTCCAGGCACAGCCACTTGGCTGGGAAGCTATCTTGATGGGTGCCAAAAAAAGTCCTGTGGCCACTTGTTTAAGTTGCTGGAGACCAACTGATCAGCTCCCTCCTCTCGTCCTTTAAGCTGGATGTGAGACCGGTTGGCAGATACTGTGGTCATGCCTGCCAGTCAGGCTCTGCTGCCACTTTTTTATCTTCGTGGACATAGGCTTACACACTTGCCCAGGCTGCCCGGGCTAGCCATGAACTCTTGATTCTGTGTCCACTGCCTCAGCTTCCCAAGTGCTGGAATTATAGGTGTGAACCACTATGCCTGGCTATCTTGCCTTTTTTTTTTTCTGAGAAAGGTTCTTCTGCAATCCAGGCTGTTCTCCCCATACAGAGAAGAATGTAAGGATGGCCTCTGAAGTCCTAATCCTCCTGCCTCCAACTCCAAAGTGATTATAGGCATGAACCACACTCTACGTGGCTGAATTTTGGTTTTAGAGAAAGGGTCTAAGGAATCTCAGGCTGGCCTCCAACTCCCTTTATATAGCCAGGGGTGACCTTTAATTCCAGATTCTTTTGCCGCTGCCCCCAGATGTTGGGATTGCAAGCCGTCATGCCGGGTTTTGTGTTTTTGAAACTGGACCTCCCTAACAGGAACGGCAGTGTCACCACCACACTGGGCTCTGGTCCTTCTCCCTCCAGTCAGTGACTCAGCTCTACCTTCCCCTTGTCTGCCTCACTTCGGAGACCTGAGATGTTTCCATCCCTTGCAGGCTCCAGAGCTCTTAGATTTCAAGGGACCAACATCTGCAAGGACCTGATAGTGGGGATGGGTCTCAGCTAGCCCTTCTGTCTTTGTAGGTGGCGCGTAAGTTGGTCATCCTGGAGGGTGAGCTGGAGAGAGCAGAGGAGCGTGCGGAGGTGTCCGAACTGTAAGTGGCAGAACGGGGCTGAGCTGCTCATCCGGCTCCAGGTGGAGGAGGGAGGAGGGAGAGTGGGCTGTGCTGGGAATTGCCTGCAGCTGGGGCCTCTGCTCAAGGACTTGGGCATCCAGGGTTCAGGGCTCATCCCTCCTTTTTTGCTTATCAGCTGAGAGAACATGGTTACTGATGGTTCTTACTACCAAGGAAAGCTTTGCTGGGCCCTTTTCCCATCAAGAAACTGGGAAATTGGGTTGAGACCCCAGGACAGCATAGAGGGCCCAGATTTCCCCCTCCCAGCCGAGGCTACTGTGCTTTGCTTTGATTTCTGGGGTTTTTTGTTCGTTTGTTTTGGTTTTTGTTTGTTTGATTCAGGGTCTCTTGTTGCCTGGAATGCCTGATCCTCCTGCCTCTGACTCTAGACTGCTGGGATGACAGGCATGCAACCACACTGAGCTTTTAAATTTTTGTTCCTCACAATTTTATTTATGTATGTATACACACACATTTTACTTTGTTTATATCACACCCCCTACACCCTCTTCTATCCCTCTCCCACTGACCCTTTTCTCAGTGTGCCCCCTCCTAACTTCCATTTCTTCTTGTGTGTGACCTGCTATAGTTATTAGACATATATATATGGATGAGCATGGAAATGTAGCTCCTCCTCCCCCAGAGGCCATTGACTGCTGATAGCACTTGGGAGGGTGGGCCTCCTGAGCCCACACCTCTTCCATGACGGAATGTTGTCAGGCCCTCCTGTGCAGGTCTTGTGTGGGTGGCCACTGCCACTGTGAGTTTGCAGTGACCCTGTACAGAAGACAGCGTTTCCTAGCTCTCCTGCCCATCCTCTGGCTCTTACATCCCCTCCCCTCTTTCTCAGCGTTCCTTATTGGCTGTTTTTATTTTATTTATTTATTTATTTTTAATTGTTTTTGTTTGTTTGTTTGTTTTTGTTTTTTCAAGACAGGATTTCTCTGTATAGCTTTGCGCCTTTCCTGGATCTCGTTCTGTAGACCAGGCTGGCCTCAAACTCACAAAGATCCGCCTGCCTCTGCCTGCCGAGTGCTGGGATTAAAGGCCTGCACCACCATCGCCCGGCTAGCTGTTTTTATTTTTGAGACAAGGTTTCACTTTATAGCCAGGCTGGCCTGGAACTTGGACTTTCCTTCCTTAACTTCACACACCCAGCCAGGCCATGTGATCTTCAGAATGCTGTCTGTAGATGGCAGGTGCCCCACGTTTCAGGGCTTTGCTTCTGATACTGGTATTGGTGCCTGACTCATTCCAATTGGAGTAGCTCAGCTAGAATCCCACAGGTCCCAACAAACAAAACACCTCTCCCCTTGGCCTTGGACCAGGGATCCAGCTCCACAGAGAGCCCTGTAGGACTGGGAGCACCCTGGTTTCACAGGTGCATTCTAGGCTTGCTTCCTGGAGTGTCCGGTATGAACTCTGAATGCTATCTCCCACCTCCCGCCCTCATCTCCTTTGCACTCCTTCCTGAGAAAGCCCAGCCAGTCACAGATTTCACAAGTCCCTATTGCCTCATCCCTGGCAGATGCCCAGTTTGCTTTACAAACCCTCCAAGTGCCCTCCTGCCCTGCCTCTGCCTGTACCTGGCAGGAGAGGGTTTGCTAAGCTCCCAGCATTCCCTGGGGAACGGAGGCTTCTTGGAAGGGAATTGCCTGCTGTAATGTAAGAGAAAACACACATCTTTTGTCTTGGTGCAGAAAGTGTGGCGACCTGGAAGAGGAGCTCAAGAATGTCACTAACAACCTCAAGTCACTGGAGGCTGCTTCTGAAAAGGTCAGGTGGAGGGGAGCTTGCTGCGTTTTGTCCTGTTCTTCAGTCTAGGTGGCCAGGCATATGCCAGGGTGTCAGCAGGCAGACTTTTGTTAGTGGGAGCCTTGCCAAGGCAGGGTTTCTCACCTGAAGCTCATCTCTTTGGCTAGTCTAGCTAGCCAGCTTGCTCCAGGGATCCCATCTCCGCCGATGGGCTGCCACAACCACACAGCCTTTATGTGGATGCTGGGGTCCTCACTGCCAGGCAGTGCTCCCCTGCTGAGTCACCACCCAGCTCTTTCTTCCTTTTTGAGAGTATTTATTTATTTAATGTGCATAAGTGTTTTTGCCTGCCATGTGTGCCTGCACTCCAGGGAGTCAGGTTCCCTGGCACCGAAGTTACAAGTGATCGTGAGCCTCTGTAAAAGCTTCAAGAGCTCTTAACCTCTGAGCCATCTCTCCAGGCTCCTTCCCCCCTTTATAAGAACTGCCTTTTCGTTTCTCCCACAGTATTCTGAAAAGGAGGATAAATATGAAGAAGAAATTAAGCTTCTGTCTGACAAGCTGAAGGAGGTGAGTGTGGCTACACCCAGCCATGTCCTGCTTTTTGAGGGGCTGATCTGAAACAGGGTAGTGACTCTCTTCTCCCCTAGGCTGAGACCCGAGCTGAGTTTGCAGAGAGGACAGTTTCCAAACTGGAGAAGACAATCGATGACCTGGAAGGTAGGAATCTCCACCTCCCTAAGTGACACATGAAAAGTTGGGTGAGGGGGTCTGTGGAGGGACAGAGCTGACCTTTGTTTCCACAGTGAGGTCTTCAGAATTCTCATAAGATGCCTTGCATTTTTTAAATGCCTCTGGTTCTTGCTGGCCTCTCTCCCAGAGGCCAGGCTTATTTATCTTAGTGTGAAGAAAAGGAAAAAGGGGCCTACAGGGCCTCAGTTCCCTGGGGCCACACACAACTCAGCATTTCTTGAAGTGACTTTATTATTCTTCAAGATAGAGCACGGAAATTCCAGTTGGGATCCTGCAGGCTGTCTCATCCAGGAAGGGGAATGAAACCCATTCTTCATATCCCTTATCCATATAAGGGAAAATGCTCCGTTCCCTAGGGTGACCTATGCAGGACAACGTCATTCGATCATCAGGAGTCATCTTGGCCCAGTGGTGATGGCAGTGGGAGTTAGTTATCTTAAAACAGGGTCTTACAGTGTAGACCAGGCTGGCCTTGCCTCTGCCTCCCAAGTGCTGGGATTAAAGGCGTGTGCTCCCAGGCCTAGCTCACCATTATTTTAAGAGTTCATCTAGGCTACTCCAGTCCAGAACCTGAGACTTCTCCGTAGTCACTCCATAGCTGTTTGTTTGACATGGGGCTCAACTTTGTCTTAGTCACACTCTGTTTTCTCACTTTCTCCTGTTTGTCTACACTGTTCATCTCAACCCTCTGTCTTCTCTCTTCGACTCCCTCCCTGGGGACACCACCATGTAGACAGCTCAAGGAAATAGCTATCATGAAGAATCTGAACGAGCCCTCAATGACCAAACCTCTCTCTGAGGGCACCTTGGATCTTAGCCATCTCCCGGTGGCCTCCTGCCTCTGGTGCCTCGGCAATCCAGGGACCCACCTCCTGGCCTTTTTCCATGTGTCAGACTCTGACTGGAATGACAACAGGCCATCTCCATCTTGTCCTTGCCACCTCATCTTTGAGCTGGAATTGGTGCCTTTGACAATGGCTAGGATGAGAGGTAGAGGCTCTCTTTACCCAAAGAAAAATGATGCCCACGTGGTCCTTTTCTGAAAATAATTCCAAAAACCAATCTGGCGGGAGTCCTGAAACACAGCAGTAGCTAATCGGAGTGGGAACCTAGTCATTGTTTCTTAATAGAGTGTCTGATGAGTCAGCAAATAAAAGGAGGCTACCCTTGATTGGGGTTTGGGCTATGAATTCAAGTGGTTGCAATTCAACTCTTGTTCTGTCTGTTACACTGAGGCTGAAGACCCGAGTCCCCACATCTCCACTGTCTAGGGAACAGTCAACCAATGCCCTGTCCCTGGGGAGAGGGAGCCACACAAGGGATATAACACCCATTAGCAGTAGAAGGAAGGTGAACCTGATGTATTGACAAAGAAACAAAGGTACTGGGCATTTGGAGGCTGACATGAGGATTTGAATTTGAAGTCTGAGTAACATAGCCAGATCCTGTCTCACACATACCCTCCCGAAGAGAGGTTGGGGGAGGAAGATGACTCCGTAAGAGTGCTTGCTGAGCAAGCAGAAAGATCCAAGTTCAAATCCCCAGCTCCCACATAAAAACTGGACATAGTCCCACGATAATATAACTCCAGCACTCAGGGGTGGAAAGTGGTGGAGACAGGATCACCGGGGCTCCCTGGCTGCCTGCCTAGCTCCAGGTTTGGTATGAAACCCTGTCTGGGTTGAGTGATAGAGCCTCTGTACTCTGCACGTGCACAAGGGGTGCGCACATATGTGTACATACACAGAAGTGTGGGCGGGGGGAGACAAGCAATAAAGCGGGGTTTTCCCGAGTTCCAACATTATCTAAGGTGAGAACATTTCCATAGTACTTGGGATAACCAGGGGAAGTGCAGGCACTGAAAGTTCATGCTTAACATGACTGAAGATTGCGACAGAGATGCACCCAGATCTCATCACCACCAATACCTCCTATCACCCCTAAAACATGTACGTTTGTTTGGTCAGTTACAGTGCTTGCTTTTCAAGCATGAGGACCTGAATTCAGTCCCGGTAACTAAAGTAAAAAGGCTAGGATGTGACTTGGGCTTGTAGAGTCAGCAATGGGGAGAGGGGAAATAAGATCCCTGGGGCTTGCTGGCCATCTCGTCTAGCCTACTGAGTGAGTTTCTGGCAGTGACAGACCATGTCTCAAAAAAGCAAGGTAAGGAGGCTGGAGACATGGTTAAGACCACTTGCTCTTTCGAAGGACCCAAGTACATTTCCCAGCATCCAGATCAAGTAGTTCACAGCTACATGTAACCCAGCTCCAGGGGACATAGCACCCTCTTCTGACCTCTGCAGGCACCTACACACAGATACACACACACACACAAAAGATAGGTGACTTCTGAGGAAGAGCAGCCAAGGTTGACCTCTGACCGACCTTGGAAAGATTCATTTTGCCAACTCTAACCTCTCCACCACCAGCCTCCCGGTTCCTGTGTGCCATTTACATTAACCCATTTTGTAAGCAGGGTGTTGGTGGTACATACCTTTAATCCCAGCACTCAGGAGGGAGAAACAGGCAGATAGATCTCTGAGTTTGAGACCAGCCTGGTCTACAGAACAACTTCTAGGACAGCCAGGGCTACACAGAAACCCTGTTTGGGGGGTGGGGTGGGCATTTTTTAAACCGTGCCCTATATACCTTGTCTTGCATAGGCCCTGGGATAGATTACAGACCGTGCTTTTGTTGTTTGCTCTGTATTTCCCTGACACTTTTCCAGACATGAATAGCCTCCACCCTTTGAAATAACCATCCCTTCCTGTCTGTCTAATCATTCTAGAGCCCTACAAGAGCTTCTACAGACTGGTGCCATAGAGCTCAGCTCCTTCCTGTTGTCTGTCTGAACGGTGTTGCGGGTCTCAAGGATAGGGAGCACTTTGGGAGTGGGGTACGGGGGCCTCTTTCATCTCAGACCTAATTAACAACACATGCTGGAATGGGGGACCAGGATTGACAGTAGAAGACCTGGGTTATATCCCACCTTCATTACTGAGCTGTGCAATGTTGAACAGAGGTGCAGTCTGGATTACCAGGAGTTGTCTAAGAACACAGAGCAGCTGGCTCCCAAGAGCATCCAGTTAACAAGTCTTCACCCAGTCTGGGTGGGCCAGTCACAGTAGTTTGTCACATAAAAGCTTCTGTGGCTATAGAGAGGCTGCAGTCTGAGGTGTTTTTCTTTCTGAAAATTTCCAGGTTGATCCTATCACAGTTTAGGAAGTCTTTTACTTTCTTCCAGTATTTTAATGACTCCTGGCCTGATCCTTATCGGCCATCATTCACACAAACCAGTTTTCTCTCGTGCTTGGTCATGCAGCGCTTTTACAAATTATTGTATTTATTTATTTGTTTGTTTGTTTGGGGTTGAAGGGAGCGAGCACACAGAAGGGATCAAGTCTCTCCTGCCATGTGGGTCCTGGGGATGGAACATAGGTCTTGAGGGTTGGCAGCAGGAACCTTGGCCATCTCACAAGCCACCCCTGTCTTTTTTAAAATTTATTTAGCCAGCTCAGATATTGAGTAGTTTGCCTGCGGTCTGACTTAGGTTTCGGTCCTGTGTCATTTACCTGGCATCTGACTCCAGTGCCAGAGGCATACAGACAGTGAACATTGTATGCCTGGGATTACAACAGTCATCTCCAGACACTCCAAAGAAAAATGGGTTATAGGATTTTCTATTTTCCTAACAAGTCACCTGTATCTAGGACCAAAATCTTTTATGTGTATAGCACCTCCTGAGTTCTGAAGCATGTCCCAGTTAGTTCTCCTAAGGCCTATATTACACGCACTGGTGTTATTCTCTACATTTTTTTTTTTTTTTTTTTTTTTTTTTTTTTGGTTTTTCGAGACAGGGTTTCTCTGTGTAGCTTTGCGCCTTTCCTGGAACTCACTTGGTAGCCCAGGCTGGCCTCGAACTCACAGAGATCCGCCTGGCTCTGCCTCCCGAGTGCTGGGATTAAAGGCGTGCGCCACCACCGCCCGGCCGTATTCTCTACATTTCACAGATGGCCTGGAAAGGTTAAATGACTTACTCTGATGGTACAACTCAGGGCTTCAGTCCAAGTGCTCTGGCTCAAGGATTGCTGGGTTTAGCAAAGGAAAATACAGGGCAGTTGATCAACTGAGTTTTCATCTCATGAAACATTTGGGATGTTAAATTTTTATTTGTAGTTTATATGTTTGTGGGGGAGGTGCTCATGTGCCACAGTACATGTGTGGAAGTCAGAAAACAGGTTGTAGGAGTCGCTTCTCTTCCTTCCATTATGTGAGTCCCAGAGATAAAACTGATTATGGAAGGGGAGGTGCACACCTTTAAACCCAGCAAGTGGATCTCTGTGAGTTCAAGGCCAGCCTGGTCTACAGAGTGAGTTCCAGGACAGCTAGGGCTACATAGAAAAACCCTGTCTCAGGAGAAACCCTATCTCAAATAAGTAAATAAGTAAAACCTTGATGATCGGGCCTGGCAACAAGTGCCTTTTCTTTTCTTGATGGGGAATCCTACCAACCCAGGAGTTTTCTTTGGGTTGGGGGTGGTGGTGAGACGAGGTCACATGTGCTGGAGTGTCAGGTATACATCACAAAGCCAGGCTGTTTCTAGACGTATTTGTTGTTTGTTTTTGTTTTTGAGACAGGATCTAACTACACAGTTCTGGCTAGCCTGGAACTTACTGTGTAGATCAGGCTAGTCTCAAACTAAGATCTACCTGCCTCCTGAGTGCTAGGATTCAAATAATGCATTATCACGCCCAGCCTAATATTCCGTATTTTATCTTGTTTAGTCCTTGATCCCTATTACTCCATGGTATTCTGTGTGATTAGAGCACAAAGTACTTTCTTAGCTGTGACTTTCACTGACAATTCGAGGTGACCCCCTTTTCCTTCCTTTAACAAAGATGCTTATTAATTCATTTTTCCTTCCTGTCTTAATCCTCAACAGAAAAACTTGCCCAGGCCAAAGAAGAGAATGTGGGCTTACATCAGACACTGGATCAGACACTAAACGAACTTAACTGTATATAACCCAAACCAGAAGAGTCCTGTTCCAACACCAACTCGACTCCAGAGAGTGTGCCATGTCTTCCTCTCTTATAAGAAGTTCCTCTTGTTACTGTGTCTCCACCTTGCTGGAAATGCCAAGCAGATATTGAATTCATGACCAAATATTTTGTATCAGACAAGCTTTGAGCACCACTTACGTTTCTTTCCTTTTCCTTTCAAATGGCACCAGCTTCTTCAGCTAGTCTTGTTCTTAAATTGCATTTATTCCTAAAATAGGCAGGGAATTTCACACTGAGTGTAGTTGCTTAAGGCTGAGGGCATTTGGTTCCTGGGAATTAGTCAGCCCCACACTTTCAAGCACAGGCTCAAGTATCTGATAGTATCTGGTCACTGTTGGGGAAGTTATGGGAGGCTGGGGGTTGTCACAAGAAAAAGTGTAGGAATTTTCCACCTAGAGCAAAAATTAAAAACGGGCTGCTATGGGAAGTCAAGCCTGATCATGCCGAGCCGGCTCCACACTCCACTGTGCAGAACAAACTTCCTTTAAGCATTCCAAGTGAGGATGGTGGGGTGATTGCCCGTGTATTTTCAGACAGATCCTTGATGCTGTTCCGTGCACATTTTCCTTTCACTCCAAAATTGTTCTCTGAGGAGCAAGTGTCTTATTCCAGGACTGGTCTGCTGTGGTCTAAAGCCAGGCACAGTGGTGCACACCTTTAATCCCAGCACTCGGGAGACAGAGGCAGGTGGATCTCTGTGAGTTTGGGGCCAGCCTGGTCTACAGAGTGAGTTTTAAGCCAGCCAGGGCTACATGGTGAGATCCTGTCTCAGATAACAAACAAAAAGACTGTTAGCCATCAATACATTGAGGAGACTGTTCTAATAACAAATGCTGGGCAACAAAAGGTCTCTCCAGCAGCAAGGTGATAGAAAAAGAAAGTGGTTAAACTTCATCTCCATTGTTCAGGGAACAACAAATGGAAGCTTGTCTTTGCCAAGACTTGAATTCCTTCGGGAATGACACTAGTAAAAGACCAAGAAACTCCTGATTGAACTGGATGTGGAGTATTCTGTAGGCTGCACTTTTTTTTTTTTTTGCTCTGTTGTAGTTTTGCTTTCTCAGTTAACATCTCAGACTGAAACATTCCACATTCCCTGGGAGCATGGGGACAACTCGAGTTTACAATTCCGACTGAAAATCACCCTGCTTCTAGCTTATCTGAACCCCTGCCCCTCACTCCTATTTATTAAGCATCACACTACCAGGGAGGTGAACTTTTAGCAAACTGCAGTTGAATAAAACCTACTCTGTTCTTTAGATTCTTGCAATTGTATCATATGTGATAATATCACTTTTTCTACATTTTGGTCAAATAAATTTTTACATAAACAATGTGTATGGGTTTTTTTTTTTCAGTTCCTTGACCATTTTGTGGTTATATATAGAATACATTTGGTTATTACACACACACCCCTTATTTTCTTCCTGCTCCTTTACACCCCATCTCCATCCCTACCGGTCTCATTTTGGTTTTGCTTTGCAATATATTTAGTTAAACCAAGGCTATCTGTGATTGTAGGTTTGTAACTTTCTGCTGGAACCTGGTGGGATCATCAATGGGTATACAACTATTCCCCCCTTTTCTGAGTCTATCAAACTAGTTCCACACTGAGGGATGGGGCTCCCAGGCCCCTCCTCCATCAACACCTGGCTGTTGACTGTCCCATTTTTGTGCAGACCTAGTATGGACTTGGTAGTAATTCAGAGTTATGATTCTGAGGGCTATATCTTGCCCAGATGATGTCATTTCCCAGCCCTTTTCCATTCCAGCTCTTACATTGTTTCCACCCTCTTCTGCAGCGTTTCCTGAGCCTTTGAAGGAATGGTATAAATATCTTTAGGGTTGAGATGTGTAGATTTCTTTTTAATGTTTGTTGTTTGTGCACTTGTGCATTTAAGTGCACACAATGGTGAGTATATGGAGGTTAGGGGACAACCTGGAGGAGCTGATTCTCTACTTTCGCCATCTGGGTTCTGGAATCTTCAGGCTTGGCAGCAATTGCCTTTTCCCACAGATCCCAGCTGTGTTTTAGAATGTGCAGGCACACAGACCATTCTGCTTCGACAAATGTTAGCAGAATGTAAAGTGAAGGAGACTGTGCCCCGAGCTCAGCAAGTAGCTGCTTTGCCTTACACCGTGACTTCACGGTACAAAGAAGATAATCTCCATACTTCAGGTGAAAGCACATGGCTTCTGTCACTCAGGATGTCCTGTCCTTTGTGATTCCTAATCCTGCCTAAACTGGGTTGAGCAGAGTGGGAAGGATGTTAATAGATGGTGAAAGAAAGGTTTCTACTGTCCTATTTAGGAAAACGTAAGGCCTGTTGGGACCAGGCTTCCTGTGGTACACTAAAGCCAAGCAGAAAATAGAAGAGTGAAAGGTAGACTGGATCCACGTTGATAAAAACTGGAATTTGGTTAGTCAGAAATAGAAATAAACAGCAGTATTAGGGAACCTGCTTAGCATTTAATTTCAGAAATACTGTGGCTGGTTTTACAGGAGGAAAGCAGGGTGGGAAAATGTCATTGACCCAGGATAGAGGCTGGCAGGATGGCTCAGGGTAAAAGTGTTTTCTGTGCAAGACTGACCACCTGAACTGGATTCCTGGATGCCACCGTGGAGGGTGAGAACCAACTCCCAAAAGATGTCCTTTCAGGGCTGGAGAAATGACTCAGCTCTTGAAGAGACCTGGGTTTAGTTCCCAGCACCCACACTGGGCACCTCACAACTATCTGTAACTCCAGTTTCAGGGGATCCAACAACCACTTCTGGCCTCAAAGGGGCACTTGTACTTACGTGGTACAGATACAGATAAGCAGGCATACACACATAAAATAGAAATAAAAGTTGTCCTCTGAGCCAGGTGGTGGTGGCGCACGCCTTTAATCCCAGTACTTGGGAGGCAGAGGCAGGTAAATCTCTGAGTTCAAGGCTAGCGGTCTACAAAGTGTGTGCCAGGACAGCCAGGACTGTTAGACAAAGAAACCCTGTCTCAAAAAAAACAAAAAGTTTTTCAAGGAGACAATCTGGGACAGCAGTTGCTGTAAGGGGGAAGTGACCTTCCTGTTTGGCTGGGTGGTAGGGACATGGAGTAAGCCTGTCAGTCACTACAGTTTCGTTACCGCAATTGTTCTAACGTGTTTTGCATCAAAATCTTACCTTCAAGGGGGTTAAGGAAGTGAAGAAAATGGGTTTGTTAGGTGTAGTGCTACAGGCTAGCCTAGGCTAGAGTGAGAACCCGACTCCAAAAGAGTCAGGTGAGGTGGTGCACACCTTTAGTCCCAGCACTCAGGAGGTAGAGGCAGGCAGATCTCTGTGAGTTCCAGGCCAGCCTGGGATATTTGAGACCCTTTCTCAAGAGAGAGAAATGGGGGGCTGGAGAGATGGCTCAGAGGTTAAGAGCACTGGCTGCTTTTCCAGAGGTCCTGAGTTCAATTCCCAGCAACCACATGGTGGCTCACAACCATCTGTCATGAGATCTGGTGCCCTCTTCTGGCCTGCAGTCATACATGCTGTATACCTAATAAATAAAATAAATCTTTAAAAAAAAAATAAAAGAGAGAAATGAAAGCTTTCAAAACATTAGCACAAAATGCAAACCATTTTCTTAACCAAATACAATCAAGAGCTTCCCTATTCTGTGTGGACCATGAGTTTAGATGGTACAAAAGTCTTTAAATAGCATAACCCTCTCCTCTGAGTGCCACACTATCATCGTAAAATCAAAGTCCCTTACTTTACACAGGTCTTTTCTCCTTCCTCATCCCACTGGGTTGGAGTCTAAACTCAGGATGGTTTTAGTCACTTTTGTGACTCAGCACTTAAATAAGTGTTCAGCTTTGCTTACCACCACAATGGGAGAATTGGAGCCAGTGAGGGTAATCTCCAGTGTGACTATAATTGAAAAATTTCCCAGTATCTCTGGTGTTGACTTAGGATATAGTCAGGTTTGGCAAGTTTTGAGACTCTAAGAAGGCTAAAATAACAACAAAAAGGGCCCAGTGTTTGCTGACTTGTCCCAGCCTTGAGGAGTCCCCAGTCCTGTGAACTATGGAGAGAAGAGAATGAGGTTAGAACCAGATTGTGTGGGATGGACCAAGGCAAGGATGGATATTAGGTAACCATTAAGAATGAGCACATCAGAGTGGATTCTAACGTGGACAGGGAGGGGTAAGATAATGTGACTACGGTAATGGAAATGGATTTGAACCTCTTTAAGAACCAGAATGTGGGCTAGGGGGATGACTCAACCAGTAATGTGCTCGCTGAGTAAGCTTGAGAACCTGAGTTCAATCTTTAGCACTCATGTTAAAAAACCAGGCATGGAGGTCTGTACCTCTAAGCCTAGCACTGGGGAGATGGAGACGGGAGGCTCTCTGGCCAGGAAGTTTAGCCAAATTGGCAAGCTTTAGGTTCAGTGAGATCCTGTCTCAAACAATATGGTGGAGAGTGATTAAGGAAGGCACACAACAAACAGCCATACACACTGATACACACAGCAGATATACACAAAGAATCAGGATGTGAGAGAGATTTTTAAAAGTTTCAAAAATTATTTCAGTTTCACCCACAAGGTAATTTAGAACAAGCTAGTCTGGATAATGACCAGAAAGCAATTAAACATGGGCAATGGATGAGTAATTTATTTTTTTTAACACTATTTACTCACTTATTTATTTTGTGTGTGTATGGGTCTGTGTATGTGGTACATGCCATAGCATGTTTATAGAGGTCTGAAGACAGCTTGCAGAAATTGAGTCTCTTCTTCCACCACTTGGATGTCTACTAAAAATATAGACTGATGGTCATTGTGAGTATATGCAGACTTCTATCAGACTCTTCATAAACACACTCTGAACAGAAGTAGAGATGTAAACAGAAATGACTGCCAAGACAGCACTATTTCAGACATAATCCCCTTATAGTTTGCTATTACTTACAATTCCATCAGCACTCACAGAAGTAGACACCACAGGCCTAAGGACGGACTATAACCACAAGACATCTTTTTATCTTTTCTATATTTCAGCTATGAATGTCAGTTCCCACAGCCCAACTTGTCCTTAACAGGTAGAACTTTTATGTCCATTCAATCATTCTTACCCCTTTCTGGGCCAAGTCCTCTACACACAGGAGAAACTGTCACTAGGTTTTTCATGTCATGCATCCACATGTGACTCCCAATCTTATACTTTTAAGATATATGGAGTGACTCGCAGCAGAGCCACATGAATGAGGAAGTCTGAATGGAGGAGATGACATCCTCATGCATTTTCTGCTTCAAATCCTCCTGGTTCAGCTTCCAGAACATCAAGGCTTTACCTCCACAGCTTACAGGCACTGCACCCTTCTCTCCCTTCCACACTGGCCACCTTGAACTCCCACCACATAGATAGATCTTAAGAATCTAATTCAAGTTGTCACATTTGGTGGCAAGCACCATTACCCACAAAACTATCTCACTGGCCCCTGGATGAGGAATTTGGAATTATCACCATGGAGATATTAGAAGCTACAGGAAAAATCATCCAGAAAATGACAGTCAGATGGAAAGAATCTTGCAGAACACCAATATTGAAATACAAACAGGAATCTACAGATTCTGCAGTGCTTAGTGAAGGGGAGGTGGAAATGACAAAAGAGAGAGGCAACTACCATGAAGAGAGTACCAAGAAAAAAGAATTTGCAGAGGTAGTCAAGAGAAGTAACTGCCCCAGAGGCTGAGGCCTAGAAAGTGGGCATCAGTTCTGATGGAAACTTCCCAAGCAGAGGTGGATGAATGAGAAGGAGGAAGAGGCAGACAGAGGCCAGCTTTCTACATGTCCTTAGGTGAATCACTGCCTTTCTAATGCTCCAGAGTAACTTAAAAGCAGACTACCTCTGAGGAACAGGAAACCATAGATCAAATTCTTGCCATGGTGATCTGACTCAGAAACCAATTTCTAGCCTGGGAATGAGGGTCAGCATCAAAGCACTTGCCTGGAATGCACAAGGCCTCCTTGTTTTTATAGGTGCGTCCCAGGGGCACCTACTCGGGTTTCCAGGCTCTTATATACCAGGACAAAGGATTGTACTGGGGACATAAAACTAGACAGTTTAGAAAGAGAGAGTGTTTCTGAGAATGAGAATGGGCTTGTGAGCAGGGAACAGGCATCTATCTCCTCAAAAGCACTGGCCTACAAGACTCATGATCAGCCTCTCCCTTATATGTATATGGTAGCCTTTTTCTGCACAAGGTTGTTATAGACAGTCCAGGTAGAAAAGAGCTTCCAATCCTCTGCCAACTGGCTTTTTGTTATGTCCCGTTGAGGTGTGTGTGCCCATGTGTATGT